CTTCGTAGCTTAATGGCTTTCGAAGTGGGAATGTTACCCTGCAATTGAATGAATCTCTTCCAAAAGTGTTTTTCGATCAAAGTAATCGCTTTGATTCCAGTTACATCGTTTTCGCATTCAGCACGAAAACTGTTCATTTGTGATCACTGAATCATTCAGCGCAAAATAGCAAAGTTTCACGGGATACTTTCGACTTGTATGAAGAGAAAAGAGCATGTTGAATGCAGTAACCGATGTTGTAATTGTTTAATGAGCATTTTCTTGGGATGACGATCATCGTAGGGCATTAATCCGGTTACCATTACATACAAGACAACGCCTGCACTCCATATATCCACTGTATTGCCACTATATGGACGAGATCTTCAATAAGCTGCCATCAGCGAATCTACAGATTAAGGCAGGCAGTCTTTCTGAGCTAAAACCTGTCGACTGAAGTCGTTCACGATGGATATCGGAAAGGCTACATTTCAAGCCTGAACAATTAACGTGTCCAATAGTAAACTCTGATTGAAAGTATTACTCGCTCGTTAGTGTTACCTGAGCACTTCTGGAGCCGTGTAGGCTCGTGATCCGCAGAATGTTTTCGATTCGTCGCCGGCACGCATATAGCGTGAGAAACCAAAATCACCGAGTTTAATGTTATCGCATGTATCCAAGAAGACATTCTCGCATTTCAAATCTCGATGCACCACTTCAACTGATTGCAAATACTGAAATTCGCGATCAACGTTGGTAAGCAGTTCGATGATGCGATGTAAATTGAAGGAAATTTTCAAAGGAACTGCTAAGAAGTTGTCACTAACAGAAAGTGCTTCAATGAGTTGTCTGAAGTAGAAACGACTCTCATCCTCTTCAATTCCACCATATCGTTTGATTCGTTGCAGTAAATCTCCATTCGCAGCGTACTCCTCGATCATACATGTGAACGGACTGATTTCAAGTAACTGTAATTTCTTATTCATGAATTGAAATGATTTTACGCTAACATTTTTTACATTTGCACAGTGTAAATTTACAGTCTTTCCAATGAACAATGTGCACATGAATCATTAGAA